ATTTACTCTAAATACTCGCTGCCCTTCTGAAATATCGTCGCAAAAGAAATTATAAATAAGATCTTTTCTAAACATTTTAATTCTTTCTGTATCATCGCCTTTTAATGAAATTAATACACCAGCTGGTGTTGTTGTACCAACAGATTTTTTAAATTTTATGTTAATAACAGAACATAATAGACTTGCTGCATATACATTGTACTTTGATTGTACGTGATAAAATTCTTGCCATTTTAAGATATCTCAAAATTTCTGTCATCGTGTAAGGAGTTCATATCTCTAATTAAAATAATTAAATATTACTATATATATATGGTAGTTATTTAGGTATTTTTATCATAATCTTCTCATTTCCTGCTATGAAAAGGAATTAGCCATGTCTTAAGAACTGGCACGGTCCATTGTGAAAGAGAGAGAGAGAGAGAGAGAGAGAGAGAGAGAGAGAGAGAGAGAGAGAGAGAGAGAGAGAGAGAGAGTCCATGCTCTCTTGTAAAGGTGTAACGCATGATGGTGGAGATACGGCTACATCTTTGGCGAACGCTTACAATGCAAATGTACGCGGAATTTCTGTAAAGAAATACGAGAAGAATCTTTTCTAGTTTGAAGCAAACAGGTTGATTTTATTTATATAATTGAAATATAATGATATACAATGCTACATTTTGAAGATATCTTTACAAAGCCTTTATATTTAAAAAATACATAAATTACACATTATGATTTTCTTTCAAGCTTATCAACTTCATGTATTTGTAGCTTCCAAATTTTAGAATATAGTACAGATAGTTAGATCTGGACTAAATCAAAGAATATAAAATAGTTGCGATTAAGGCAACAATCATTTTGACGAAATAGATTTTACTCAGTTTAGGATAAAATACTAAATTGGAATAAATTACTAAACATTATTATTTATCCATTAAAGGATATTTAAATTCCAAAAAAAAATCGTAAACATTAAGTCGGTAGGAAAATTAATATTTTTACCATAATATAAATACAAACACAAATGAATGTAAATTCTTAAAAGCAATTAAACATTCCATTGTATTATGGTATTAAAATAAAAAGAGTACTCCCAAGAACATTTTAACTAGGAAGGTTACAACATAAATCCAATAAGCATAAATCCAATGTTATTATATTTGCTTAAAATTTCTGTCATAACACACACACACACATACACACACACACACACACACACACATATATATATATATATATATATATATATATATATATATATATATATATATATATATATATATATATATATATATATATATATATATATATATATATATATATATATACAGAGAGAGAGATAGAGAGAGAGAGGCAGACATACAAGAGACAGACAGATAGAGAGACAAAAGTGACAGACATAATTACAAATATACACCAACACCACGGAAAGAGCTATCCCAGGTTTCCAAAGGTGAACGCTTGATAATTGTAGGAAGAATTAAAATGCATAAATATATACCTACCTACCTACCTACCAACCTACCTACCTACCTACCAACCTACCTACCTACATACATACATACATACATACATACATACATACATACATACATACATACATACATACATACATACATACATACATACATACGGACGGACAGACGGACGGACGGACGGACGGACGGACGGACGGACGGACAGTATACACATAGTTGTTTGTGTGTGTATGAGTGTGTGTGCATAACATTGGTTCAGAGCTAATATTTCGCTGAAGCTGAATATAATTTTGTTTTGAAAGCTGACAATTTGATGTTACAGAAGAGTACTACAGTACTGTATATATTGTGAGAAGAGGAGTACGGTATGCCATTGCTACTGTGTAAAGTATCTCGCACGATTTAAACGAAAAATCAGATATATTAATCTCGATGGTTATTTTGTATCAACGGAACCAAGAATTACATTTGGAAAATGATTGCATCCGTATGCATTCCTTTCATTTTTCTCAATTTCGTCTTCTAGAATCGTTATTCAAACACAAACGCCACCCACTCCCCCGTTCCATAACAAAGCTACAACATGCAAATCTCTGATCATGGTGTTGTTTCAGAGCTTTTTTAATTATCATTGCCAAGTTTAAAATTAGAAAATAACCTATATTATCTTCAATGGAACAAATTTAATTAGAGAAAGAGAAAAAATATTTGTTTTCTAAACTAATTTCCGTTTCAGACTTCTAAATTATAATAATAAACATTTCTTTTTTTTTTTAATAAACCATTAAAGAAAATTTAAAGAGCTGCGTTCTTATGCCAGTAACCACATGATTTTTTTTCTTTATTCTGAAAATGCAACAAAAAGCATCTAAATATTAATTGAGTTCTATTGATGTATGTCCTTATAGGAGACTAAATAGAACCCAGTAATAAATCCGCAGCTGTTGCAGAATAATGGACACGTGCACGTGTACAACTGGTAATTGCGTATGCTTAACGTGCTTTACTCTTTACTCTAGCATAAGCCTTGTACTCATTAAAAGTTCCTTTGGATAATAGCTTTATTATTATTATTATTATTATTATTATTATTATTATTATTATTATTATTATTATTATTATTATTATTAATAACATTATTATCATCATCTTTATTATTATTATTATTATTATTATTATTATTATTATTATTATTATTATTATTATTATTATTATTATTATTATTAACATTATTATCATCATCTTTATTATTAGTATTATTATTATTAATATTAATAACATATTATTAACATATTATTATTATTGTCATTATTATTATTATTATTATTATTATTATTATTATTATTATTATTATTATTATTATTATTATTATTATTATTATTATTATTTGAAGAAGATGGAGGAGAGTGGCGGTAATAGAGTTTGTAAATACAGCGGCATGATTTTGTGCATTATTTCAGTATTGTGCAAACTCTTCTAAAAAAAATCTCAAAGATACAAAAATTAGAGATTGAAACAATATCCAGTCTGAAGTATGGTGAAATGGCTTTACAGGCTGGGCAATCGCCAAAATGTTGACTGTCGTTCATTCGTCAATGAGTGCCTTACATCTGTCGGTGAGTGCCTTACATCTGTCGGTGAGTGTCTATATCTGTATGTGTCTTATATCTGTCGGCGAGTGTCTTATATCTCCGTGAGAACTTTACACCTTTCTGCGTGTGCTTTACATCTGCAGTTGATTCAGAAAGTTTAGATTTTTTACGTAGGAACAAGTTTAGATATACGGCAGCGTAGACACGTCAAAAGCAAAATTATCAAAAGGCCAGACTTATCTCTCGAAGCAGCGGGGGCAGTTGCGTTAACCTCAGGGTTGCGCCCACCCCGAACACCCTGCATAATTTCAAAAATGGGACACCACCTCCCTTTCTTACGTAAGACCTTGGGACTTTTGGTCAATTTTTTAATATGCTTCCCGACCTCTCCTCGCGTCCCCTGCGCATTGCAAAGCCACTGGGCTGGAAGTTATTCCATTGAGTAGGCGACAATATTCGATTGGTCTTCTTTTTTAAACCTTGCATATTCTCATTTTTAGCTTTACCATATAGCCAGTAATGTGCTGTTGTACGATGAAACACGATTTTATAATCACATTCTTCATTGTACCGTGTGAAACTTGATTTATTTTATCAATTTCAATGTGTACCATCATTACAATTGATTGTTTTGTGATACACACTCAAGCATTCATATTAAAGATAATATTAATCATGATGCATCTTTATATGAGAAGATGCATTGTATTATTATTGTGATACACAGTTTATAGTGCAGTCGGATGATTCTGTTGTACTAATATAGATGGAATGCTAAAATGCCAAGAACTGTATGTATTTTGGATCACTGAACCTGTTAATGCATAATATCTATCATTGATAATCGAACGCTTTTTATAAATATTTTCCAATGAAAATTCATCTTTTAGTCTTCTTACTGTCTTGATTGTCGATTTTCGAACAAAATATGGTTCTGCTAAAATTTTAGAAGTAGCAAACAATAAAATCCATCCAAGACATCAAAGGATTTTTTTTAAGGATACCCAAAGACATGTCAATTGCTTTTATCTTTGAAATTGTAATTTATCGTCTCGACGTTTTAAAATGTTTCTGCAGTTGCGACTCTGCATGCGGCGCACCTACATTAATTGAAGAAATTACTGCTGAACACGAGACGTGAAACTTAACATTGGAGCCTGGGGAACAGGAACACGGTTTCCTGTGCGACGGTTGTGAAAAATGTTAACCAAAAAAAGAAAAAAAAAAAACAAGCTTATTTAGCGGAGTACTGCACGCGCTACCTCTCTTTATTCGAGACGATAGTAACCTACATTTTTGAATCATTAACTGTTTTAATTGAGGAGGAACGATATGGCAGCTGGAGTGGTATTTTTGAAAACAGTTATGTAAATTTGCTCTCATTGTCATAATGAAAGGCTAACAATGTGTGTGTTTGTGTGTGTGTGTTTGTGTGTGTGTGTGTGTGTGTGTGTGTGTGTGTGTGTGTGTGTGTGTGTGTGTGATTTTTAGCGTAGCTTTAACATTGCTACGATGTCTGTAGTGTAGTAGTTCATAGTGATCTCTAGCACTGGGGCATCATGTCGCAGACATGTAGCATGATGTTTCACCCAGTCACAATATCCTTACACCAGGTTGACCAGTCCTAACATTAGCCACTTAATATTGGGGAGGGGGGGGGCTAGTAACTAAGTGGTCTAAAGCGCTCTCCGTTACGGATTACTGCCTTCTCATCTGCGTGGGTTTGAGTCTAGGATTCAGCGAATGTGGATATGGGAGAAAGCTTGCCAGTAGCTTCTAGTGGGTCGGTGGTTCTCTCTGGGTATTTCCCGGTTTCTTCCTCACCATTAATACTGGCCGCCATGTATAGCCTATCGTATGCTGAAAAATGGTGTTATGTCCAACAACAATAATGCTGAGCACCAAGCGAGGCAGGTGCTAGTACCATTTATATAAATTTTTTATATGACTCGGCCGGTGTTCCAATCCGCAAGCTCCCGCATCCGAGGCGGACGCTCTAACCACTAAGCCACCGGAGCGGTCCTACAAAATGGTGAAGAATAAATTTTCACACATTACTTGTAACAGTTAAATTATTCCAGCATGACTTACTATAACATGGGGGCCCCGAGTGGCCGAGTGGTCTAAAGCGCTGTCCGTTACGGATCACTGCCATCTCACCTCTGTCTGCGTGGGTTCGAGTCTAGGATTCGGCGAATATGGATATGTGAGAAAGCTTGCCAGTAGCTTCTCGTGGGTCGGTGGTTCTTTCCGGTGATTTCCCGGTTTCTTCCTCCACCATTAATACTGGCCGCCATGAATACCCTATCATGTGCTGAAAAATGGTGTTAAGCCCAACAACAACAACAACTACTATAACATGGATAAAACGAGACCAAGCAAAGCAGAGAATCTAAAATTTTATTTTCACAACAAAGGTATGTGGTGTATTTTAAGATTTTTCTTTCAACTATATATATATATATATATATATATATATATATATATATATATATATATATATATATATATATATATATATATATATATATATATATATATATATATATATATAAACGTTTGATAGCATTTATTTGGTTTTGAAGTAGCTCTATTGCATCGGCGAGTTAGCAACATTATCAGCGCAAGGTATAGCAAAAAATATCGTCAATATCATCTGACATAAATACACCTCTGTTGCTTTCGAGCTTCATCTGTGTAATCATACCATTAGTAAGAAGGGAAACATGATAGGACTTAAAATACAGCCTTGCCTTGGACCTAATGCACATTCGAAATAAGTAGTTAAACCTTTGGACACAGCTTTTCAGATTTATATTCATATTCATTATAATGTCTAACTTTGTAGATATAAATATGTAATATGTCGAAGTTTGAATGAGTATTGAACCTTAACTTTGAATTCATTGTGCATTAAAATTATATTACAGTCTAGTCAGAAAAGTCTTTGTGAACGGACATTTCGGCTTTTTTCTTCAGGTCAGTTTAGACTTGAAAGGCCAACATATAGACCCATTTAGAATTGTCCTGGGTATCGACACGCTATCCTGAAAAAAATACACATTAGAGCTACCAACCATAACTGTTTGAAGTGAATCCCATGTCTTATAGTTCTTTTCAAATGAATGTGGATAGGCATCGTATTTATGATAATTTAGGCTGACAAAAACTGACGAAAGGAATAATTATCTTGGGCTGATTCGGATTGGTCAGTTAAATGAAGGCATATACCTTGGAAGTTATGTGAATTTTAAAAGAACGACCTTGATCAAATTTCTTAGTCCGATTTTTCTTGCAAGAAGACAACGTTTAGCTCCGGCGAAACCTAAAGAATAGGTTTTCATCGTTAAAAACAAGTAAAGGGACCAGGTCGTTGTCTTGAAAGGAATGAGAGGCTATAGTGCTAGGACGCACGATTTGTTAGAAAAGAAAACAGCATTAAGGTATGCAATTTTAATTTCATGTAATTTCCTATTGTATTTGTCTTGTTTATAAAAATGTGTTTGATATGACTAGAATTTATACTATTATCGTTTATTCGATTTCACGGAAATATGGTGATATGCTAGAGTTGTTATGCAATTTATTTCTTTAATATTACAGTTACTAGTACATTGATAGAACTGATGGATTGCATAGGATCTAAATTTTCAGATTTGTAGGATTTCGTAGGGTTTTATGAATTACTTTTCTTTGCTAGAACGATATTGCTTATCGTGTGTTGATGATAATTGCATATCTTATATGATTTTGAGATGCTTAAAGAAACTTGTAGGTTAGGGATTACTTTTAGCTGGAATTTATTGAATCTTATGCAATAGTAATAGATTATATAACTTACTGAGTGGAACTGACTGTTTAGATTAAAGAGTCATATTGTAGCGCACGCAGGAATTTAAGGCCGTGGTCGTATACACCGCCCACGTGACAATTTATGGTTAATTGCTGCTGCGAAAAGAGTGAGTGGTCAGACTTTTGTCTGTGTGTATGTATGTATGTATGTATGTATGTATGTATGTATGTATGTATGTATGTATGTATGTATGTATGTATGTATGTATGTATGTATGTATGTATGTATGTATGTATATATATATATATATATATATATATATATATATATATATATATATATATATATATATATATATATATATATATATATATATATATTACATGGGCCATTTGTAAGGACCGTTAACCGTTAAAGTCAACTTATGTCAGAATTTACGCAGTGTCGATAGCTAATTATGCTTCTGAATAATGAAAGTGAAAGAATTTTATATATGGATAGGTGGTGATACATATAGAGATTTGGTGGTAATCTTGTCGTTTAAGGAAACATTTCTCTCAGGATCAGACGGGGATAGTCAGAAAGACGAAGAAAGGAAGAGTTCGGAATAGAAAGATTAAAGGAAGCACAAGTCTACACAGAGGGTGGGGAGATGTTGGATACATGGCGTCAAGAGAGGAAGCGACGCTAGGTGATGCAAATCAGGCGTGGACATTGCGCTCTTTTCACCACTCGTTACCATAATGAACAAATCTGAAATTGAACACTGCTATTAACTTCCATTAATGTAAATCTGTTGAGTTGAAGTTGCCAATATTAGTTTATATATTAATTAATTAAATTTAACTTATTTGTCTTGTTTAAATGGGCTCATATTGTATTATTTCTTCTCGATAGTCATGCATAGTTCTCTGTTGACGTTCTATCTATCCACTCACAAGGGGCAAAACATTGATGGAGGTAATCGTCAAGATAACATTCGCCAAATCTAAATAGCCAACACCTCTTTCTAAGACGGGGAACGTTACAAACTACAATCTTAAAAATAAGAAGTATAAATAGTTTGCTATCGTTTCCTATTAAGCGTAGCATGGTCTACTTTGGTCAACGTAAAATGTGCAACATCCGAGACCCTTACCGATTTCCTGGTGAGTCTATTTCGTTTCAAAGTAAGACAAGTACTAAAAGACGGAGACTTTAAAACAAAAAGTGGCAAGTGTCTTTCATAATATCATAAGAGTCTGAATAAGTGTTTATTGTCTGCTGTCCCCAGTGAGAACATTATTTTCAACAACTTTCGTTCAAGTAGAACAGCATAGCGGCGGAAGGAGACAAAGCTGCAATCGGAATGACTTCGGCCTTTGCTGTCACAGCGTATTAAGTGCTCACCTCCCGAGGCAACACTGCGCGTTATTGTCGCTAAGTAAGCGATTATGTTATGTGGCGAATTACTATCCAAATTTGGATATTATCCATACGCCAACCAACTCTGAGGTCACTTCTGTATTTTAAGAGCAACAAATTAGTTACAAAGACGTGGCCCCATTACATTCTTAATTTTCCTGATTTACTGAAGTCAGTCTAATATATCTCTTGGAAGTAATTTTAAACTAAAATTGTCGATGTTTACAGGAGAACTACCGTTGTCAAATCTTCATTTTTAGAGGTGCGTAGTTTTGAATGCTATAAAGCTCTGAATCTCAAAGGCAAGTATATATTGATTGTAGTTCGCAATCACATAATGCCTGTATCAGCTTTAAAAACGAACTTGAACTTGTTAAGTTGGGCCCAGGCAAGTCACCAAACTGATGTGTATTTCTGCAACTTTTGAGGTTATTTCACGACCTGACGAAAATGGTTATAATTACATCATACGGGTAAATTTTAAAATCGTTATCAGCCCCGATCTCTGGAGGACGTTACACACTCCAGAACTAGATAAATCACTTTGGATACAGCAGATAATGCGTGTATTTAGTACAGTCAAAGAGGCTAATAAAGACAGTTGGGTGAATTAACAATGAACATATCAAGTCAGGAAATGTAAATATGAAAATTACACGTGAGTTATAAATCAAAATGTGGATTTTATTAGATATCATTTAAAATATGCCATGTAATTTATTGATGCATAAAACGTTTCCTTCAATTTTGACTTCTCCTGTAACTGATCAGTTATATCAATTCTCGTGACGCATGTTACATTTTCTTAAGAGAGCTGGTAATATTTAATAATAATAATAATAATAATAATAATAATAATAATAATAATAATAATAATAATAATAATAATAATAATAATAATAATAATAATAAAAACTATAACGCAAGTCCTAATATTGAAAACCAGTCCAATGAATGAACATGACTAAACGCCTAATTAGCATCACAGCATGAAAACTCTCTCTCTCTCTCTCTCTCTCTCTCTCTCTCTCTCTCTCTCTCTCTCTCTCTCTCTCTCTCTCTCTCTCTCTCTCTCTCTCTCTCTCTCTCAGAAACGATAAATGTACACTAGTGACTGTACACTAGTGACTAAACTGTATGACGTTGGTAATTGATACAGCAATGAATGCGCATGCGTTATCGAGCAATTGTTATTCTGTATTTGGTAATGTATTTCATAATATTTTTAGGGGGAGTAGAATGTCATTGACTTTTATACTTCTTAGGGCTGTTTTCTTTTTCTAAATGTAATTTGATGATGCTGATAATAATAATAATAATAATAATAATAATAATAATAATAATAATAATAATAATAATAATAATAATAATAATAATAATCATAATAATGATGACGATGATGATGATGATGATGATGATGATGATGATGATGATGATGACAGACCGCTCCGGTGCCCTAGTGGTTAGAGCGTCCGCCTTGGAAGAGGGATGTCGCGGGTTCGAACCCCGGCCGAGTGATATCAAAGACTTATAAAAATGGTGCATCTGCCTCGCTTGGCATTAAGAGGTTTGTTTTAGGACTGTTCGGCCTGGTGTCAGGATAATGTGACTGATGTCCCAATGCTAGACATTACTGCAGGCATCGAAGCAATATGATTCAAAAATTGTTAAAGCTTTAAAGCTATGTTAAATCGAAAATACACACACAATAATTATTATTATTATTATTATTAATAATAAAGATGACATAACTTAATATCATAGAATCGAAAATACCAACAGATGGTTCATAAAAGCTTATTTGCTAATTTATATTAGAAATAGT